ATTTTGTCAAAGAAATAAAGTTTATCCATAAAAATATAATTCACAAAATGAATACTGCATCATCATTAAGATGATCGTGATACGGTTGATGACGATGATGATAATGGTTGTGGTGATGATGATGATGATGATGATGATAATGAAGATGATTATGATGGTTGTGATGATGATTATGTTTATGATGATGGTGACGATGATGATGTTTATGATGATAATGGTTGTGATGATGATGGTGATAATGATTACGATGATGTTGACGATTACAATGATGGTGATTATGATGACGGTAATGATGGTGATTATGATAATGTGATGTTGATGACGATGAGGGTGATGAAGGTGATAATGATGCTGATCACTATGATGATGAGATAATGTTGATGGACTTTTGTGTGTGCGTGCGTAATATTCTCGAGATAATCCAAGGAAGCGGAGCGATGGTGGGGGGGGGGTGAATACTCAATCAGAGTTTAGGCCTTCCTGTATATTCTATATATTCTATTCTATATAAGTGAGCAAATGAAGCTGGAAATCCCCCCCCCCCCCCCCCCCCCCCCCCACCTCTTTCCTGCTTGTAATTTTTTTTCGGATGAATTATGCATAAACCTACAAAACCTGCAACAGTGGACCCTATTTACAGACCATGTCACCGTGGACGTTAGACCTGGCAATACACACCTCTTCTTTCCAAACCTGCAACAGTGGACCTCTATTTACAGACCATGTCACCGTGGACGTTAGACCTGGCAATACACACCTCTTCTTTACAAACCTGCAACAGTGGACCTCTATTTACAGACCATGTCACCGTGGACGTTAGACCTGGCAATACACAACTCTTCTTTCCAAACCTGCAACAGTGGACCTCTATTTACAGACCATGTCACCGTGGACGTTATACCTGGCAATACACAACTCTTCTTTCCAAACCTGCAACAGTGGACCTCTATTTACAGACCATGTCACCGTGGACGTTAGACCTGGCAATACACACCTCTTCTTTACAAACCTGCAACAGTGGACCTCTATTTACAGACCATGTCACCGTGGACGTTAGACCTGGGCATACACAACTCTTCTTTCCAAACCTGCAACAGTGGACCTCTATTTACAGACCATGTCACCGTGGACGTTAGACCTGGCAATACACAACTCTTCTTTCCAAACCTGCAACAGTGGACCTCTATTTACAGACCATGTCACCGTGGACGTTAGACCTGGCAATACACAACTCTTCTTTCCAAACCTGCAACAGTGGACCTCTATTTACAGACCATGTCACCGTGGACGTTAGACCTGGCAATACACAACTCTTCTTTCCAAACCTGCAACAGTGGACCTCTATTTACAGACCATGTCACCGTGGACGTTAGACCTGGCAATACACACCTCTTCTTTCCAAACCTGCAACAGTGGATCTCTATTTACAGACCATGTCACCGTGGACGTTAGACCTGACAGTGGCAGTACACACACCTTCTTTACAAACCTGCAACTGTGGACCTCTATTTACAGACTATTATATCAATAATAATAATAATAATAATAATAGTAATAATAGTGTTTTTATACCCAGGGTTGCCTCTTCAGTTCTTCGAACTGTTATCCTAGAGGGCCCTGCTATTATTACCCCTTGCACATTAGCCGTTAGGCTACAGTTGACCCCTGTATTTTAAGACTATGCTACCGTGGACTTAAGGCTTGGCAGTACACACCTATTCTTTACAAACCTACAACCGTGGACCCCTATGCGACTGATTATACCACCGTGGTTAAAGTGCCCTATTAATGTAATTATTATGTATTATTATGTATTATCCCTCCGTTCATCGTCCTCCTTACAATTCACTCTCGGCCCACGTACGAAAACCCGATATGGGGACTGCCTTCTCCCCCATTGCCCCTACCCTCTGGAATAAACTTCCACCTCACATCCAAAATGCCCAATCTGTTGAATCATTTAAATCCCTTCTCAAGACCCACCTATTTAAGCAGCTATAATTTAATTTTGTAGTATATTGTTGGAGGTGCACACCAAGTTAGTTTATAATTAAGTAGTTTGTTTATTATTAATTATGTATTGATTTTTTTAACGGTATTATGATTAGACAGACCACATGTGCGCTTTGAAACACCCGTACAAAGCGCCTTATAAATGTTATTATTATTATTATTATTATTATTATTATTATTATTATTGTTATTACCATTACCATTATTATTATCCTTATTGTTACTATTGCCATTATTATTAGTAGTAACATTATTACATGTATTATGATTATTATTGTTATTATTTTTTTTCTCATAATTATTTTTTTATATTGTTTTCTCATTATTATTATCACATAAACATCTATTATTGTTTTCCATCATCGTCCGAAACGCATACTTAAGTCACATTCGTTTGAATTATGCATAATTGCCTGAATTTTCAAAATGTGTCCACGTTAGTATGGTCTTCTTAGGTCCATGTTTTGTTAGGAGTCAGGGTCCACATTTGGATATGATGGCTATAAGGGTATGTGCATACATGTACGTCCACAGTTTGGATGTGGAAAACATATCTCTCCAGAAGGCCCGCAGAGTTTCTTTCTTGGTGTTTTCGTAATGGTCGTACCAAATGTAACTATAATCTAGCATCTGGTCCGCATGCGCCATTGAATAAAGATGTCCACGATTGTACAGTAAGAAATACATGTCCGCGTTTTAAGGCCTATACAAGTATGTGTGTGTGTGTGTATGTGTCTTGTGTGTGTGTGTGTGTGTGAGCGATTATGTACGTGTCTCCGCACTATTTGTTGGACATATGACTGAAAACACACCAACAGTTGATGGACCTTTTTTTAATTGTGGGACCAAATGTCGGTCCCACAATTTTTTCCCTTTATAATACTCGTTTCCACCTTCTGACGTCATAGTGTTTATGAATATTCATGGTCTCACAATTAGTGTGTGTTTTCAGTTGGTGTGTTTTAATTTCATAAAATGCAAACACACACTCTGCAGAGCGCCATCTAGTGTCCTGTTTTCAAGCAGTCATTTATGTCCAACGTACAATAGCTATATAGGGCACGCGCATTATACATTTTATATGTGGTTACTAAAAAAGACGTTACGATACGTAGTAACTCTATGCATATGCATGGTGCATGCAGTGCGCGCGGCAAATCTCGTGCGCACATATACCACATGTATGTACATGCTGTCAACATGGAGCCGGAGCGGGAGCTGGAGTCATAGACAAAGAAAGTAAGTTTGTTGAAACCTTTTTATATAGTATTGGCAGGATATTAGACAGTAGCAGTTATGTCTAACTTTCTTTAGCTACTGTACGTCTACCAACGTAAATAATTGGTTAAGATCTTCTTTAGATTCGAAGTTCAGATCCAGGCAGCTGTTTGGCTTTGGGGTAGGCCTAGGCTTAGACCGAATTTTCCGTCTCTTTCGTTCGTTAGCCTCTTATTGGGGTAGGGTCGGCCGGCTCTCTCTTTAGAGACGGAAACCGTCTATACACATTCCCTTGATAACGCCACGGCCATTTCAGGTCGTAGCGTTTTGCCCCCAAAATCCCCCAAAATGTCATTTTACCTCGTGCATGTTATATTGTAAATTAGGCCTAGGCTATAATAAATCAGTTCCACTTACCAACTTGACTGAAATAATCAGTTTAATAGTCCCTTTTAGGAGTTTATGGGTCAAAATCGAAATCCATGTTGAAAAAGATTTTTCAAAATGGATTTCGATTTTGACCCATAATTTCCTAAAAAGGGACTATTAAACTGATTATTTCAGTCAAGTTGTTAAGTGGAACCGATGTATTATAGCCTAGGCCTAATTTACATGTGGATATGCACGAGGTAAAATGACATTTTGGGGGATTTTGGGGGCAAAACGCTACGACCTGAAATGGCCGTGGCGTTATCAAGGGAATGTGTATAGACGGTTTCCGTCTCTAAAGAGAGAGCCGACCCTACCCCAATAAGAGGCTAACGAACGAAAGAGACGGAAAATTCGGTCTAGCCTAGGCTAAGACCTAAATAGGCAGGCGATTCGATTAGCGTTTCCAGTTAATTAGATACTAGAGAGGGTCTATACTCTAGCTCTACCTCAGAACAATTGATAGAACTTGAAAGATGAGTCTTTTATTTGTTTTTAATGTAATTATCAAAGTCTACGTAATGCAGCAATAATGACTTGTCACGATAGCCAATTTAACCACATTATTTTATTAAAAACAGCAACAAAAAATTACATAGAGATTCTAGGTCTACTGTAGGCTAGGCCTAACATCTAAGTTACAGGCCATAACTGACTTGGATGTGCTATATCTAACTAGTAAACTAATTGTACGATTCACCCTCCCATGTATTTCTGATCAGACCTAAACAAAAAAGAAGTTGGAGACTATTGCCCTTTTAGGCTTTAGGTGCCAAAACATGGGTCGGTCAATCTTAAATCTTGAAGAAAAAAAAAAAATTAGTCTAAACTGTTTTTTTAAAAGCCGAACATAGATTTACAAGATTTTTGGGTTGGTCACAAAGGGCAATAGCCCCCCTACAACTTTTTCTTTTTAGGCCTCATATACGAATTTACTTGGTGGAAGATTGTTATTAATGACTTTTCTTTTCAATGATAGTCTCATAATATAAAAGAGACATTTTTCAAATCAGGCTCCCTCCCCACCCCTCTGAACAATAGTGTAGTGGGCAAATTCATGCATAAGCAGTTGGCAAGTCAACCAACTCTGATGATTTGCTTGTGCTGCCCCTCGACTACCCCCACCTACCCGACCCGCTCTATGTACGGACATACAGCACTCCCTTGACTGGACACCCGCTTCAGCTGGCCCTCGATCAACCACCCCCTCCACTGTGTATGAACATCATCTTTAGCTGCCCCGCCACCAGCCCCCCCCCCCACCCAGATGCAAGTTCTATGAAAAGTCAATGACACAAACACATTGGGGCTAATGAAAAACTGTCTGATTTCATGTGCTAACAAATTGGAGTTCATGTTTACTACCTAGTTTTATGACCACCTTTTTTGACAGAGTATGGCTTCAGGACAAAGAAAGCGACCTGCCCGTATTCCACCGCACAAAGTGGCAAAGAATTGGTGTGTCTTGGGCAAAGACCAGAGTGGATTTACCAAGACATTTATCAAAGATGATATAGGTAAATTATAAAGAACAAATCCATACAATAATGATAATAATGTTAATAACAATAATTATACACAATAAAAATAAAAGTAATGATAATTACAATGATAATAATAATAGTAATAATAATAATAACTTAGAAAATAGTTACAATATTAATAATGATAATAATTTAATCAAAATAGTAATAGTGAATACGGTAGGCCTAGGGACTTGTGTCCCCCCCCCCAAAAAAAAAAAAAAATAATAATAATAATACATTAATTAAATTAAATGAAATACAATAATAAACAAATAGGTAAAAGCGACAAAGAGAGCTAGAAAAAAGAAAAGATAGGAGCCATAAATATGGAATCATTGGAATGTATAAGCTATGTTATCCTGCAGTCTGCAGAGGTGTTAGGAGGTGCTATATAAAAATTAAATATTATTATTACTCGTGACACAGTCAAAGACCAGAGGTGTATCAAAAGAGCTTATCCTTTCAAGAAATCCATGTTTTCATTTGCAAATCTAAATGACAACATTCACCAGGTTAATGTCATCCGAGTATGAATGGGCTTGGGATAGATTTTAAATTCCATTGTACTGGACAAGCACCATATACCCTAGAAACATCTCATGTGCTACTTGGAGGAACTGTAATGGTTTGAATTAATTTTGTAAAGGGGAATCCCCGTGGACCGTACAGGAAAGCACACATTTCTTCTGGCTCATGGCACCAGAACAGACCAGGCAAATGATAATTTTAATTCTATTAAACATACTACTATTGGAAGCTTGCATGGTTTGGGGAAAATGTAAATATTTTGAAATGCACTTTTCCTTCTCCATTTTTAGGATATGGCCTTGTGACCACAAGACCCTTTTTCAAGGGAAACTTTCTTCTGGAGTACCGTGGAGATCTGACCATTGCTCCTGATGAAGATGAAGAGAATGTGGACTATGTTTTCCATTTTTCTCACAATAATACAAAGTATCGGTAAGTAATTTAGATTAGTTTATTTCCTTGACTTTAGTATTTTGAGTGACAAAGTATTATGCTTGTTTCATGGGCATTTTTAGGATTCATCATTTTTGGATAGGTCCATTCTTAGTTGAGCAAATAACTATCCTCTGTTAGCTACTCAGCTTAAACAAGAAGAACAATCATCCCCAATAACCTTGGAAAAAGAAGAAATTGATGAAATGAAATATCTACTTGTTTAATTACATTATAATTTATAGAATTGTCACTACCGTAGTTCAAGGATGAATCATTTTAAATCTTGCATACCAATCTCGAGTCATGTTGGTTTCCTTAACTTATGTAGGACCTTTAGGTGTCAGTTATTTCACACCACCAATGCTCATAGTACAGTGGTTTATCTAATGGGACAGATTAGGAAGTTTAGTTACTACTAGTAGCCTACTGTCATCGTTTGTGTGCTTGATATTTGTACTCTTTCCAGTATTGATGCGTCAGAGGAAGATTCATGCCTGGCAAGGTGGGTGAATGACGATCACATCCACCCAAACTGTGTAATTAAGAAAGTCACATTCAACCAGTCAAGTGGTTCTAGCCTTCCACATCTGTGCTTATTTGCATTAGTGGATATTAGACCTGGTGCTGAATTGAGATACGATTATGGCGTTGACAACTTACCATGGCGACAGGTACATGTTTCGTTTGTTTATTCTCATATATAGATTTGCTAAACGGTGGACCTTAGAATGGGTAAATTAGCCACTAACCTACTTTCTGACATTCAAGATATTAATTCAGTGTTTAAAACTGCTAACTTAATACACAAAGGTGGACCTTATAATTTGTAAATGTGCTATACTGAGCTGACAAAGTGGACCTCACTTTAAGTGTTTTTGATGGTCTAAGCTAAAGTTTTAAAGGAAAAGAAAGATACCTTTAATACTCAGCATAGACTTGATAAACTACCTAAATCAATGAAAGTGGACCCAACAGTGTCTACAATTGATCAAATAATCTAGCAAAGGTGACTTCCAAGATAATTTCAAATGATCGTAACCTAATAAGGTGGACCTTTTATTACCATGGAATAAGCCAATGTTATGATTTGCTGAACTTTGTATAGCTTAACCAAGATACATGGACCTAACAATGTATAACATTGTGCAAAGAAAGTTTTACTAAACTAAACTAACAAAAATGAACCTTACAATGTGTAGACTCGCTATAAAAGAAACCTAACAAATATGGACCTCACAATGTTTAAGCTACTTTTATGATGACCTTGTTTTATTTTACATAAAAAAAAGATATTACAGAGCTTTAATTAGGTTAATATTGCATTCTACATTTTCGTTCAAATCTCTAATATTGCTTCCCAATAGCCACCATCTGGGACAGATGTGAATGTGAAAGAGGATGATTGCAAGCCAACATGTGATCTGAGTTTAAATTGTTATTCATATGAAAGCTGAAAGCCTATAAAATGTGGCCTACTTTTTTGGTGAAAGTAGATCTTTTTTCCACTGAAAAGAAAAAAAGCTAGAGTATATGATTACTATTGCTTAGAGCGCTTAGAGACTACTTTAATACTTACTACTTACTTACTATATTCAATTTTGTTTTCAAATGAAGAATAAAAAGTTGAGCATAATTCACACAAATTATTTTGTCTGCAAAGTAAAGTGTTTTGGTAAGCCTGATATACGTATTTGTAAGGGGACAAAACTTCAAACCACCACTAATTATAATGATTATCCAATGATCTTATATTTTGAAACAATGAAGGAGGATGCTGCCAGACAGAGGGAACGTGAGACGGCAGAGCAATTGGTGAATACAGCAGAACGGAAACGTTTGAGAGAGGAGGCTGAGTGGGAGGCCGAGAAACGAAAGAGGGAAGAACGAGTTAGACAAGAAGAGGAGGAACAGAGGAGGACGGAGGAAGAAGAAGAAAGGATTAGGGATTTGAAAATTCAGGTAAGAACTTCATTATTTAAATTGTGAGATTGCAATGAAAAAGAATAACGGATTAGGAAGTCAGAAAGATGGGTAAGAACTTCTTTATTTAAAGGAAAACGAACCCTTCCTTCTTGTCTTTTCATATTGATTCTACTCTTCTTCTTTAAAAAAAAAGTATTTGTACTATCTGCTTCCCTTTTCTCCTTTAAGTGATATTTATGTACTTTACTTTAGAATCAAACATTCAACAAGGCTTTATGCTCTTTTTCATTAACCCTTGTTATATACTAATTGTTTCTTTTATAATTTTGTAAATCTTAGTGTTTACTTATATCTAATAGTTTGATCTGATCATCTTCCTATTTTTTATTTTTACATCCTCTTCACATAGAATCAGTTTGAAAAATACAAAGAAAAAAAAAACATCCATAATCAAGAAGAATGACAAAATATTCCTGTTTCTTTCTTACAGTCACAGTCATATACACCGGATAGTGAAGAAGAAAGTGAAGAAGAATTCTTCCCAAGAAGTTTGAGAAACAAGACTTCTAATAGGGTAAGAATATTCATTGTTTCTATGTATCATTGAACCCAATAACCCTATTTGTTAATCTTTTTGGCAAAAATCATATCACATAACAAATATAACAAACATGAGTGAAGACAAAGTCGATAGAAAACATATAAATCCCGATAGCAGGTGCATAAATTAATCGTGAACAAAACATATTGAGTTGTCAACAAATTAATGTCAATACCTATACGGTCGTGTCAAAAATGTCATATAGAAAAATCATATAGCCATAACTTTATTATTCCATTCACATTTGTGCTGACTTGTTTTATTCTGTCTGAACTTTGATTTCAAACTTGTTGACTTGAGGGTTTGGGTTTCTTTTTAATCTGTGCCCACAGCTCCATTCACTACCTGTAGTTTCCTTAAAACCACCCCTCCCACCTCCCACTCCTTCAATTTCTCCTTCCTCTTCTTTCACATCTGCTCTTTCTCTTCCTTTCAACTACTTTCCTCATACTCCTCCCGTTCCTGTTACTTTTTCTTCTTCCTCATCTTCTCTTTCTCATTCTCTTTCCCTACATCCTGTCCCCTTTTCTTACTCTGAATCTTCACTTACATGTCTTTCAGGCAATTATCTCTTTGCTCCTCCTCCTTCTCCTGTCCGATTTTCCCCTTCTCATTCTCCTTCCCCTTCTTCCTCTCCTCCTCCTTCTCCTCCTTCCTCTCCTTCTCCTACTGCTCCGCGTTCATCTCCTCCTATTTCTACTAATGCTTTTCTTCCCCGACCCTCATATTCTCTTCCTGTTTTTTTCCATAATACTCTGTACTTTTTTCTTGCTCTATTACTTCTTCTTCTTCTTCTTTTCATTATATTTGTCATTCTTTTGTATGTTCTTGAGTAATTTTCTCAAAGCTATTTTATTGATTTCCCCACTTTTATTTCATTTCTAGTGGGGTGGTGTATTTCCTTCCTCTTTTTTTCCACTTCTCCTCCTCTTCTCCCCCTTCCTCTCTAACTCGATCCTCATTCTCCTCCTTCTCCTCATTCTCCTCCTCTCCTTCCTCTCATGCTATTCCTTCCTTTTTTCTTGCTCCCTTATTTCTTCTTCTTTTCATTCTACTTCTGATTTTTTTTTATGTTCTTGACACTGTTATTCATGTCCCCCCTTTTATTTTGTTTCTACTGGGGTGGGAGGGGCTGGGGACGTGGCTGACAAAGGAATTAGCCAATTGGTAAGATATTAACTTATTATTAGGTTGAATCATATTTCACTGGTAGATGAAGGGTGCCCATTCAAGCGTAGCGAGCGTAATCTCAATGGTATCCGAATGGTATTTAAATGGTGTTTGTGAATGGTATCTGTATGGTATTTTCAGTGGTACTTCCGAATGGTATACCATTGGTATAATAGTGGGTTCTTGTATAGCGCTCATGTCAGTCAGATTTGACCCTCCTGGCGCTCCCGATTATTACCCTGGCTTTAGCACGGCTGCCATACGGCGCTCTAGCATTTCAAGGAATCAATTTCTACCAGGTACCCATTTACTTCACCTGGGTGTAGTGTGGCAAATGTAGATCAATGTCTTGCCAAAGAACATTAGCGCGGCGGCATAACATTGAACATTTTTTTGTAAGGGTTGTTTGACATTGCAAATACACCTAAATACCCCATTTGTTTGACAATGTAAATGCACCCAATGAAACATTCTATTTCTTCAACTGTGCAAACACACCAATTCAACACCCTATTTGTTTGACAATGTAAATTCACCCAATGAAACAAACAAATAGGGTATTGAATAGGTGTATTTGCAATGTCAAACAAATGGGTGTTGAATTGGTGTGTTTGCAATGTCAAACAAATGGGGTGTTGAATAGGTGTATTTGCAATGTCAAACAAATGGGGTGTTGAATTGGTGTGTTTGCACAGTTGAAGAAATAGAATGTTGAATAGGTGCATTTGCTTTGTCAAACAAATGGGGTATTGAATAGGTGTATTTGCAATGTCAAACAAATGGGGTATTGAATTGGTGTATTTGCAATGTCAAACAAATGGGGTGTTGAATTGGTGTGTTTGCACTGTTCAAGAAATTGAATGTTTCATTGGGTGCATTTGCTTTGTCAAACAAATGGGGTGTTGAATAGGTGTATTTGCAATGTCAAACAAATGGGGTGTTGAATTGGTGTGTTTGCACAGTTGAAGAAATAGAATGTTGAATAGGTGCATTTGCAATGTCAAACAAATGGGGTATTGAATAGGTGTGTTTGCAATGTCAAACAAATGGGGTGTTGAATTGGTGTGTTTGCAATGTCAAACAAATGGGGTGTTGAATTTGTGTGTTTGCACAGTTGAAGAAATAGAATGTTGAATAGGTGCATTTGCAATGTCAAACAAATGGGGTGTTGAATTGGTGTGTTTGCAATGTCAAACAAATGGGGTGTTGAATTTGTGTGTTTGCACAGTTGAAGAAATAGAATGTTGAATAGGTGCATTTGCAATGTCAAACAAATGGGGTGTTGAATTGGTGTGTTTGCAATGTCAAACAAATGGGGTGTTGAATTGGTGTGCTTGCACAGTTGAAGAAATAGAATGTTGAATAGGTGCATTTGCTTTGTCAAACAAATGGGGTGTTGAATTTGTGTGTTTGCACAGTTGAAGAAATAGAATGTTGAATAGGTGCATTTGCTTTGTCAAACAAATGGGTATTGAATAGGTGTGTTTGCAATGACAAACAAATGGGGTGTTGAATTGGTGTGTTTGCAATGTCAAACAAATGGGGTGTTGAATTTGTGTGTTTGCACAGTTGAAGAAATAGAATGTTGAATAGGTGCATTTGCAATGTCAAACAAATGGGGTGTTGAATTGGTGTGTTTGCAATGTCAAACAAATGGGGTATTGAATAGGTGCATTTGCTTTGTCAAACAAATGGGGTATTGAATAGGTGTGTTTGCAATGTCAAACAAATGGGGTATTGAATAGGTGTGTTTGCAATATCAAACAAATGGGGTATTGAATAGGTGTGTTTGCAATGTCAAACAAATGGGGTGTTGAATTAGTGTGTTTGCATAGTTGAAGAAACAGAATGTTGAATAGGTGCATTTGCTTTGTCAAACAAATGGGGTATTGAATAGGTGTGTTTGCAATGTCAAACAAATGGGGTGTTGAATTGGTGTGTTTGCAATGTCAAACAAATGGGGTGTTGAATTTGTGTGTTTGCACAGTTGAAGAAATAGAATGTTGAATAGGTGCATTTGCTTTGTCAAACAAATGGGGTATTGAATAGGTGTATTTGCAATGTCAAACAAATGGGGTGTTGAATTTGTGTGTTTGCACAGTTGAAGAAATAGAATGTTGAATAGGTGTGTTTGCAATGTCAAACAAATGGGGTGTTGAATTGGTGTGTTTGCACAGTTGAAGAAATAGAATGTTGAATAGGTGCATTTGCAATGTCAAACAAATGGGGTGTTGAATTGGTGTGTTTGCAATGTCAAACAAATGGGGTGTTGAATTGGTGTGTTTGCACAGTTGAAGACATAGAATGTTGAATAGGTGCATTTGCTTTGTCAAACAAATGGGGTATTGAATAGGTGTGTTTGCAATGTCAAACAAATGGGGTATTGAATAGGTGTGTTTGCAATGTCAAACAAATGGGGTATTGAATAGGTGTGTTTGCAATGTCAAACAAATGGGGTGTTAAATTGGTGTGTTTGCACAGTTAAAGAAATAGAATTTTGAATAGGTGCATTTGCTTTGTCAAACAAATTGGGTATTGAATAGGTGTATTTGCAATGTCAAACAAATGGGGTGTTGAATTGGTGTGTTTGCACAGTTGAAGAAATAGAATGTTTCATTGGGTGCATTTGCTTTGTCAAACAAATGGGGTGTTGAATTGGTGTGTTTGCACAGTTGAAGAAATAGAATGTTGAATAGGTGCATTTGCTTTGTCAAACAAATGGTGTTGAATTGGTGTGTTTGCACAGTTGAATAAATAGAATGTTGAATAGGTGCATTTGCTTTGGCAAACAAATGGGATTTGAATAGGTGTATTTACATTGTCAAACAAATGGGGTGTTGAATTGGTGTGTTTGCACAGTTCAAGAAATTGAATGTTGAATAGGTGCATTTGCTTTGTCAAACAAATGGGGTTTTAAATTGGTGTGTTTGCACAGTTGAAGAAATAGAATGTTGAATAGGTGCATTTGCTTTGTCAAACAAATGGGGTGTTGAATTGGTGTGTTTGCACAGTTGAAGAAATAGAATGTTGAATAGGTGCATTTGCTTTGTCAAACAAATGGGGTGTTGAATTGGTGTGTTTGCACAGTTGAAGAAATAGAATGTTGTATAGGTGCATTTGCTTTGTCAAACAAATGGGGTATTGAATTGGTGTGTTTGCAATGTCAAACAAATGGGGTGTTGAATTGATGTGTTTGCAATGTCAAACAAATGGGGTGTTGAATTGGTGTGTTTGCACAGTTGAAGACATAGAATGTTGAATAGGTGCATTTGCTTTGTCAAACAAATGGGGTATTGAATAGGTGTGTTTGCAATGTCAAACAAATGGTGTTGAATTAGTGTGTTTGCACTGTTCAAGAAATAGAATGTTGAATAGGTGCATTTGCTTTGTCAAACAAATGGGGTATTGAATAGGTGTATTTGCAATGTCAAACAAATGGGGTATTGAATAGGTGTGTTTGCAATGTCAAACAAATGGGGTATTGAATAGGTGTGTTTGCAATGTCAAACAAATGGGGTGTTGAATTAGTGTGTTTGCATAGTTGAAGAAATAGAATGTTGAATAGGTGCATTTGCTTTGTCAAACAAATGGGGTGTTGAATTGGTGTTTGCACAGTTGAAGAAATAGAATGTTAAATAGGTGCATTTGCTTTGTCAAACAAATGGTGTTGAATTGGTGTGTTTGCACAGTTGAAGAAATAGAATGTTGAATAGGTGCATTTGCTTTGGCAAACAAATGGGATTTGAATAGGTGTATTTACATTGTCAACCAAATGGGGTGTTGAATTGGTGTGTTTGCACAGTTGAAGAAATTGAATGTTTCATTGGGTGCATTTGCTTTGTCAAACAAATGGGGTGTTGAATTGGTGTGTTTGCACAGTTGAAGAAATAGAATGTTGAATAGGTGCATTTGCTTTGTCAAACAAATGGGGTGTTGAATTGGTGTGTTTGCACAGTTGAAGAAATAGAATGTTGAATAGGTGCATTTGCTTTGTCAAACAAATGGGGTGTTGAATTGGTGTGTTTGCACAATTGAAGAAATAGAATGTTGAATAGGTGCATTTGGTTTGTCAAACAAATGGTGTTGAATTGGTGTGTTTGCAATGTCAAACAAATGGGGTGTTGAATTGGTGTGTTTGCACAGTTGAAGAAATAGAATGTTGAATAGGTGCATTTGGTTTGTCAAACAAATTGGGTATTGAATAGGTGTGTTTGCAATGTCAAACAAATGGGGTGTTGAATTGGTGTGTTTGCAATGTCAAACAAATGGGGTGTTGAATTGGTGTGTTTGCTAAGTTGAAGAAATAGAATGATGAATAGGTGCATTTGCTTTGGCAAACAAATGGGGTGTTGAATTGGTGTGTTTGCACAGTTCAAGAAATTGAATGTTTCATTGGGTGCATTTGCTTTGTCAAACAAATGGGGTGTTGAATTGGTGTGTTTACATTGTCAAACAAATGGGTGTTGAATTGGTGTGTTTGCACAGTTGAAGAAATAGAATGTTGAATAGGTGCATTTGCTTTGTCAAACAAATGGGTGTTGAATTGGTGTGTTTGCACAGTTGAAGAAATAGAATGTTGAATAGGTGCATTTGCTTTGTCAAACAAATGGGGTATTAAATAGGTGTATTTGCAATGTCAAACAAATGGGGTGTTGAATTGGTGTGTTTGCACAGTTAAAGAAATAGAATGTTTCATTGGGTGCATTTGCTTTGTCAAACAAATGGGGTGTTAAATTGGTGTGTTTGCACAGTTGAAGAAATAGAATGTTGAATAGGTGCATTTGCTTTGTCAAACAAATGGGGTGTTGAATTGGTGTGTTCGCACAGTTAAAGAAATAGAATGTTAAATAGGTGCATTTGCTTTGTCAAACAAATGGTGTTGAATTGGTGTGTTTGCACAGTTGAATAAAAAGAATGTTGAATAGGTGCATTTGCTTTGGCAAACAAATGGGATTTGAATAGGTGTATTTACATTGTCAAACAAATGGGGTGTTGAATTGGTGTGTTTGCACAGTTGAAGAAATTGAATGTTTCATTGGGTGCATTTGCTTTGTCAAACAAATGGGGTGTTGAATTGGTGTGTTTGCACAGTTGAAGAAATAGAATGTTGAATAGGTGCATTTGCTTTGTCAAACAAATGGGGTGTTGAATTGGTGTGTTTGCACAGTTGAAGAAATAGAATGTTGAATAGGTGCATTTGCTTTGTCAAACAAATGGGGTGTTGAATTGGTGTGTTTGCACAGTTGAAGAAATAGAATGTCGAATAGGTGCATTTGCTTTGTCAAACAAATGGTGTTGAATTGGTGTGTTTGCAATGTCAAACAAATGGGGTGTTGAATTGGTGTGTTTGCACAGTTGAAGAAATAGAATGTTGAATAGGTGCATTTGGTTTGTCAAACAAATGGGGTATTGAATAGGTGTGTTTGCAATGTCAAACAATGGGGTGTTGAATTGGTGTGTTTGCAATGTCAAACAAATGGGGTGTTGAATTGGTGTGTTTGCTAAGTTGAAGAAATAGAATGATGAATAGGTGCATTTGCTTTGGCAAACAAATGGGGTGTTGAATTGGTGTGTTTGCACAGTTCAAGAAATTGAATGTTTCATTGGGTGCATTTGCTTTGTCAAACAAATGGGGTGTTGAATTGGTGTGTTTACATTGTCAAACAAATGGGTGTTGAATTGGTGTGTTTGCACAGTTGAAGAAATAGAATGTTGAATAGGTGCATTTGCTTTGTCAAACAAATGGGTGTTGAATTGGTGTGTTTGCACAGTTGAAGAAATAGAATGTTGAATAGGTGCATTTGCAATGTCAAACAAATGGGGTGTTGAATTGGTGTGTTTGCACAGTTGAAGAAATAGAATGTTGAATAGGTGCATTTGCTTTGGCAAAAAAATGGGGTGTTGAATTGGTGTGTTTGCAATGTCAAACAAATGGGGTGTTGAATTGGTGTGTTTGCACAGTTGAAGAAATAGAATGTTGAATAGGTGCATTTGCAATGTCAAACAAATGGGGTGTTGAATTGGTGTGTTTGCAATGTCATACAAATGGGGTGTTGAATTGGTGTGTTTGCACAGTTGAAGAAATAGAATGTTTCATTAGGTGCATTTGCCTTGTAAAACAAATGGGGTGTTGAATTTGTGTGTTTGCACAGTTGAAGAAATAGAAGGTTTCATTGCATGGGTGCATTTGGTTTGTTAAACAAATGGGGTATTGAATAGGTGTATTTGCAATGTCAAACAAATGGGGTGTTGAATTGGTGTGTTTGCACTGTTCAAGAAATAGAATGTTGAATAGGTGCAGTTGCTTTGTTAAACAAATGGGGTGTTGAATTGGTTTGTTTGCAATGTAAAACAAATAGGGTGTTGAATTGGTGAATATATTTGCAATGTCAGACATTTTGTAAGTATTATTTTTTATGTCATGCTTCATCGACCAATGGTAGGACTTCACCAAAATTACAAATGTGAACCCCCATGCCCCCTCCTGGGACAAATTTGGGTTTGTGGGACATTATGACCTTAAGTGTGAGAAACTGTTGCAAAACAAAGTCTAATATTATTGTACCACCTACCACCATACAAATTGCTTTTGTATGGACAAAATTCTTTGGGAAGGTACAGAGAATTTTTGATTGGGGCTCGTATCTAGAGTAATAACTTGTGCATGACACACTGAATTAATATGAAGTGACAATTTCATCAGTTTACCCTATAACTTCAATGGTGACAATGATCTTGCCCAGCACTTTATTCTAAAAATTACTGTAAAATTTTGCCCCAGGTTGAAAATTTTGGTGTAAATTGTTAGTAAAAAAAAGAAGAAGTATACTCAAGCATGTGTCTATTGAGCCTTAATTCAATGTAAAATGTTGACATATTTATGCCTTCGCACACCGAAGGTGGTGCCAGAGGCATCATGTTTTTGGATTGTCCGTCCGTTACCGCTTCTTGTTAGCGTGATTACTTATGACCGGCTGATCGGATGTTTGATATCAGATTTGATTTGAGCTCTGATTTGAGCTCTTGACCACGATAACTTGAATGGTTTATTTGATATTGATGTAATGTGGGTGAAGTATGTATCATAAGCCCCCAATAAACTGCTCAGATTTCAGGGTTCAAAGGTCACAGGGCCTGAAATATGTCTGACTTGAGCTCTGGACAACGATAACTTGAGAAAGGTTTATCGGAAATTAATATAACTTGGGTGACGTATATATTATAAGGCACCAATGAACTGATCAAATTTCAGGGTTGATAGGTCAAAGGTCACATGGCCCTATACTTGGTGTTTTACCACAACTTGAAAGTGGTTAATTGGATATTGATGGGGCTTTGGTGAGGTATCTGTTAATAAGGCACCAATGAACTGATCAGATTTCAGGGTTGAAAGGTCGAAGGTCATGAGATATCATGCTTAGTGATAATGTGACAATGGCTCATTGGATATTGATGTAACTTAAAGTATGTATTATTGCGCACTGATAAAGTTATCAGATTTTGGGTCATGATCAGCGTTCAAAATTCGCGGGGCCCCCATACCTGGTGTCTTTACAAATTGGACCCGGGTGCGGAATAATACCTGCCGGCTGCATGCAGCCGAATAATCTCTAGTTATTGTTGACTTTTCAAAAATACACATCATTGTAAAGATATATTCCAGATTTGTATCCAGGATTACAGTATATCTGAATATCTCATCAAAAGTGAAAAATAAAGAGGAAAAAATAAAAATTTGTACCGAAAGTTTCAGTCACAATTAAACTTTACTCTCGTTGCCATCAGCATGTAAAACACCCAAATGAATTAAAGTTGTGCCTCTTGTATTTGCTTTTTCAGGAAATTAACTCCAACAGACAACAGAAAAAAGTGGCACCTGTGATGGTTGAAAGTGACAGTGAGATCAACTCCAATGGAAAGAGGAAATTGGTAGAAAGTGAAGGTGATATCAAGTCTAACCGAAAACTGGGAAAAAAAGCACCTGCGATAGTAGAAAGTGACAGTGACAAAGAAGATGAGCCATATGTGGCACCTGTGATGGTTGAAAGTGACAGTGAGATCAACTCCAATGGAAAGAGGAAATTGGTAGAAAGTGATGGTGATATCAAGTCTAACCAAAAACTGGGAAAAAAAGCACCTGCGATAGTAGAAAGTGACAGTGACAAAGAAGATGAGCCATATGTGGCACCTGTGATGGTTGAAAGTGACAGTGAGATCAACTCCAATGGAAAGAGGAAATTGGTAGAAAGTGATGGTGATATCAAGTCTAATCGAAAACTGGGAAAAAAGGCACCTGCGATAGTAGAAAGTGACAGTGACAAAGAAGATGAGCCATATGTAGCTGCATCAAATACAAAACCCAACGGACCAAGGAAATGGGATTCATATTCATACTGTCTATATTGCGGTAAGAAGCAGTCACAGCTTAAACGCCATCTGTTACGAAAGCACACAGATGAGTCAATGGTTGCAGAAGCCCAGGCAACAGTTGATGATAACAGAAAAACGCAAATATGGTCAAAAATAAAGAAATTAGGGGACTTTGAGCACAATCAAAAGGTACACATTGGAGAAGCAATGGATTTAAAAGTAACAAAGAGGCCTAAATATAAAGCGAAATATGATGTGAATGATTACGTCCCATGCTCTTATTGTTACGGATATTACCATATTCATTCCCTGTACATTCACAGAAAAAATTGTAAAGCAAAAGATGGAAGCAAGAACAATGCAACAAACAAAAACATGCATGTGAAAAGTGGTAGAGCTCTTATACCTATGAAGCATAGCACAACAAGTCAATGTCGCAGAGCAGTTGATTCAATGGGTTGCAATGATATATCACTAATAATAAAAAATGATCAAGACATCCTTGGTGTTGGACAGAATCACTTAGGAAAAAGCAATTCTGCTAAGAAGGAAGAAACATGCAGAGAAAAAATGAGGACAGTCGCAAAAATTCTACAAGCAGCAAGAAGCATTGACACAAGTATTGTAAATGCGTCAGACATGCTTACTCCTAGCAAATTTGATACTGTAGTTAAGGCTTCTCTTTTTGTAAGCAAATATGATGAAGGCACACAAAAACATGGGGCATACTCTACTGCTCTCAAGCTTGGACCATTTCTTAAAGTCCTGGTGGTGGTTGTCAGGGGCAAGTATTCCAGACAACATATGGAAGACCATGTGAAGACGGTCAATGAATTTGAAAGGTTGCTTGTTGATGAGTGGAACATTCATGTGACTTCCTCTGCACTGCAGCAGCGCACCGAGAAGAATTGGAAAAACCCTAGGACACTGCCTCTCACACAAGATGTTGTTAAATTTAACAAGTATCTTGCAGAAACAGAGAAAGAAATAAAGACAGACATAGAAGAAGCTGGCATGTCACCAGATCTATACAGAGATTTGGCCAATGTAACTCTAGCGCAAATTGTAACATACAATAGAAGACGACCTGGGGAAGTAGAAAGAATGAAAGTAGATGAATACAGAGAGCAGATCACCAAGACTGACATATGCCATGATGAAATTTTCAAGACTCTCACAATGTCAGAGAAGGCAGCAATGAATCGGCTGAAGATGGTAAAGGTCAGAGGCAAGAGAGGAAGGGGAGTTCCAGTCTTTTTGACTGAAAACACAAAACAGAGTGTGGATATGATAATAGACTACCATGACCAAAGGCAAAGAGATGATGAGCCACGCAGATACATATTCTCTCGAGCATGTGACACTGCTAGTACTCCGTACAGAGCCTGTGACGCAATGAAAACACTTACTGATAAGGCAGATCTTATCAAGCCAGAAAATGTCAGGTGTACACGACTACGGAAACATATAGCAACTACGTCCCAGCTGCTGAACTTAAATGATCATGAGTTAGAGCAGTTGGCCAATATGATGGGTCATGATGTTCGTATTCATCGAGAATATTACAGACTTCCGCAAGATGTCCTGCTGTTGGCAAAGGCTAGCAAACTACTCACAATATCTGCAAAAGGTGAAATGCACAAATATGCTGGAAAGTCACTTGAGGAAATTGAGCGGAGTCCAGACGACACTGTAGATCTAGATGAAACCGACCAAACAATGTCGGGAGACACACAGACTGAATATAGTGATGAAGAGACTGGACCTCGTGATGTAGACAAGAGCCCTGGAGTAAACGATGCAGAAACAGTAGTTAGTGACAGTGAAGAGTCTGAAGTCTTTGAAGAGGTAAGCAGACGTACCCAAGCAAAAGTAAAGCGTGTAGGCAGAAAATACAACAGGTGGACAGATGAACAGACACAATATCTCAAATCCAGGGAAGAAGTCAAGAAAATGTTGAAGACTAAAACTGTGCCAGGAAAACTGGTTGGATTACAAATCATACAAAAGAGTAAGGGACTGCTGAAAGACAAGAACTGGAAAGAAGTTAAATTCAAAGTCCATACTTTAAACCAACTTGAAAGGAAGAGGTTGCAGAAGAAGGAAAAGATGTATGTGAAAAAGTAAGCAGGGTGTTGTGGATGGACCTCTCCTTTGACAGCTGAATTAATTGCGACATACCTGCATTTTGTACCATTTTTTCTTTTTTGTTTGTATTGAAGTGTTACAAAAATTTGATATAGGTTTTAGTTTAGGGAAAAGAGTTCATATTTTACCTAAATTCAGTATCAGTATGGTACATGCTGCAAATCACATCATGGTTGATTATTACACAGAACACCTCTACACCAAGTGCAGTTGTTAGATGCTTCCAATAATATTGGAATGAATTTTGAAATACTGGCCTTTCAAGTTATCAAATACCTTACCTATGGTATGTGTCAGTGTTGTCTCAATACTCAATTGCCCATTTTCATTTTTTTTTCTTCAGAAAGTAAGTGTTTCCTATTACTTTAATTAAGTTTAAGAAATCTGTACAGTAAAAGAAATGTCCTGCATTCAAAGCATTTGGTGATGGATATCCAAGAATTGTTATGTTGGTTTCGTTGATTTGCGGATGTAACACTGACACCTGATGTTTCCAAATCAACCAAATGCTTCATCTATCATGAGTCCCTGTGATTTCACTTGATACCATTGGTTGACTGTCTCATGTAAATATGTTGTACAAGTGCATCAATTAAGGGTGGTGGAGGGATAATGTTTTATCCAATATGTTTTATCTCGTAACTCGTGAACAACTCTGATGGGAAGTGCATGAGTGTATACATTTTCTGACAGGAAATTACACAATAAATCCATTGGTGACTCCATTTAAATCACACAAAAAACCTGCTTTTAACCCAATTTTTTGGACCACCATTATAAAGTAACTTTACAGGGAAATTTTTTTTTTAATGTAACATTAATCCAGGCACTTGAACCTCATTTACTACTCTCAGTTGTTTCAAACTCGTACCTATTGTCCAAAACATTGACAAATATTTTTTTGAAAATGTCATTCCCAAGTTTGAGTTTATGCATCATGGGTTATGAAAACAAACTCAAGGACCTACTTTAATACAAAAAATTAAAACTTAGTTGCTACTGTATATTCTGCATGAAAGTTTACCAAGGAGATGCTTTATTTTGGTGTCTGGATTAGTTCCAAAAAAAAAAAAAGTGGAGAAAATAATACGACTGAAATTGTTGATTTTATGCAAAAACATTTATTTTCATCCAATGGCATCCAATGGCATCCAATGGCATGTTTCCAGTTTTGTAATGATTGCCAATTGTGTTAATTTCCACAGATTTAGATTAAACATCCACATGGTATATATTTCTGAAAAATTTGAAACATGTTTGCATAATGTTGCATATGAGTTACAGCGCTGTTATTTTGCTCTCAAATGACCCTTCATTTGCTCAAATCCCTCATTCCACCTGTCACATATATCACTATGCAGATCTTCATGGTAAATATGGTATGTTTTGTTTCAAACCTCATTTTCAAATGATGATAATTGATTACTCAACTGTGCATAGAATAAGTGATTTTACTAATATGCAAACATGTTTCAACTTTTTGAGAAATGCGTCTGTATATCAAACATCTGTACAAATTCAATTCATAAAACCTTTAAACATGGGTTGAATTGATATTACACATACTGTGTTTATACTTTGCATATAGCACATGATGATTTGTTGATGTAATTTGTTATCCAGTCGATGTAGATTTGAGAAAATTATAAATGCTTTATTTGGGTGTCTGGATTAGTTTTTAAAAAAGTGGAGAAAATAATGATAATTTACTGAAATTGTTGATTTTATGTACAAACATTTATTTTCAGTTAATTTTCAATCTCATATTTGAAAAATCACAAATATTTTGTCTCCTGATTTTAGGACAAGTTTGCTGACAAGAGGCCACGTCCAATGGCATGTTGTTTTCAGTTTTGTAATGATTGCCAATTGTGCGTATTTTTCCAAGTTAATTTCCACAGATTTCTGAGTAAACATCCACATGGTATGTATTTCTGAAAAATTTGAAACATGTTTGCATAATGTTGTATATGAGTTAAAGCGCTGTTTTTTTTTTCTTCTCCCAAATGACCCTTCATTTGCTCAAATCTCTCATCCCACCTGTCACATGTATCACTATGCAAATCTTCATGGTAAATATGGTATGTTTTGTTTCAAACCTCATTTTCAAATGATGATAATTGATTACTCAACTGTGCATAGAATAAGTGATTGTCACAAACGAGGCGTTGTAGAGAAGACTACAGATTTTACTAATATGCAAACATGTTTCAACTTTTTGAGAAATGCGTCTGTATATCAAACATCTGTACAAATTCAATTCATAAAACCTTTAAACATGGATTGAATTGATATTACACATACTGTGTTTATACTTTGCATATAGCACATGATGATTTGTTGATGTAATTTGTTATCCAGTCGATGTAGATTTGAGAAAATTATAAATGCTTTATTTGGGTGTCTGGATTAGTTTTTAAAAAAGTGGAGAAAATAATGATAATTGACTGAAATTGTTGATTTTATGTTCAAACATTTATTTTCAGTTAATTTTCAATCTCATATTTGAAAAATCACAAATATTTTGTCTCCTGATTTTAGGACAAGTTTGCTGACAAGAGGCCACGTCCAATGGCATGTTGTTTTCAGTTTTGTAATGATTGCCAATTGTGCGTATTTTTCCAAGTTAATTTCCACAGATTTCTGAGTAAACATCCACATGGTATGTATTTCTGAAAAATTTGAAACATGTTTGCATAATGTTGTATATGAGTTAAAGCGTTTTTTTTTTTCTTCTCCCAAATGACCCTTCATTTGCTCAAATCTCTCATCCCACCTGTCACATATAACCCTATGCAAATCTTCATGGTAAATATGTGTTTGTTTTTTCCAAACCTTCTCATGTTTCAAGGATGATAATTGATTACTCTGCTGTGCATGGAATAAGTGATTGTCACAAACGAGGCGTTGTAGAGAAGACTACAGCTTTTACTAATATGCAAATATGTTTCAACTTTCTGAGAAATGCATCTGTATTTCAAAGTTTCCAAACTTACGTTGAGGAGTTTATATCAAACATCTGTACAAATTCAATTCATAAAACCTTTAAAATGGGTTGAATTGATATTACATATACTGTGTTTTTACTTTGCATATAGCACATGATGTGTTTCAATGACTATATTCTTCTTGGCACATACGGCAATGAAGTCTTAATTTGAACTGGATTGACAGCAAGTTGTGTTGAGTTGCAGTGTAAAAATTATGGATAGATAGATAATGCAACTCTATAAAGTAAGAACATGGATGAAACCTTTTTAAGGTCAAAAGATTTGCTTCACTGCCTGCAATTTGTGTATAGCTTGTGATTTAATCCATTATAAGAATGAAGGTGAAATTTGTGCAGTGCTTTTTTTAGATTTCAAACATTTTTTCAAATTGTATTTTTCTTTTTCAAGTTTGATGGTTAAAAAGTTGCCAAATTGTAGCTTTTTTAGGAAAACAATTGAGATTGTAAACTGCCAGCACTGTCTCCACAGCTCTTAATAGGGCTATTGCATTGGCTTCAACTTCAAGAATGCTGAGAAGATTTCCCTGTTAAGTGAAGTGCATGTCTACCAGTTATTTTGTTATTTCACTGATGTTGAACTCGCAAAATAAATGTTCAATTGGCATTTACAACAGAGAATAAGTTGTGGATATTATCTTTTATTTAAAGTATTTTAACACTGCAGCAGCAATCTTATTTGTAATTTAGAGACGGTGCTAAACCCAAGACATACATAAGAAATAAGCACAACAAATCGCTGACAAGACAAATCCATACATTTTTTTTATCTTTATTAAATGAACGCAAAGAATAAAATATCTGAAATGATAGCCATTTCATTGCAGAGTGCAAAGACGCCACAAATTTTTCACATTTGAATGTTGAAAATATAAAGACATGTTTAACACAATATTGACATTGGAAAGCACCAATTCAACACCCCGATTGTTTGACATTACAAACGCAATTCAACACCCCGATTGTTTGACACTGCCAACACATGCACCAATTCAACACCCCGATTATTTGACACTACAAACACATGCATCACTTCAACACCCCAATTGTTTGACACTGCAAACACATGCACCAATTCAACACCCCAATTGTTTGACACTGCAAACACATGCACCAATTCAACCCCAATTGTTTGACATTGCAAACACATGCACCAATTCAACACCCCAATTGTTTGACATTGCAAACACATGCACCAATTCAACACCCCAATTGTTTGACATTGCAAACGCATGCACCAATTCAACACCCCAATTGTTTGACACTGCAAACACATGCACCAATTCAACACCCCGATTGTTTGACATTGCAAACACAGTGCACCAATTCAACACCCCAATTGTTTGACATTGCAAACACATGCACCAATTCAACACCCCAATTGTTTGACATTGCAAACACATGCACCAATTCAACACCCCAATTGTTGGACATTGCAAACACATGCACCGATTCAACACCCCAATTGTTTGACACTACAAACACATGCACCAATTCAACACCCCAATTGTTTGACATTGCAAACACATGCACCAATTCAACACCCCAATTGTTTGACATTGCAAACACATGCACCGATTCAACACCCCAATTGTTTGACACTACAAACACATGCACCAATTCAACACCCCAATTGTTTGACATTGCAAACACATGCACCAATTCAACACCCCAATTGTTTGACATTGCAAACACATGCACCAATTCAACACCCCAATTGTTTGACATTGCAAACACATGCACCAATTCAACACCCCAATTGTTTGACACTACAAACACATGCACCAATTCAACACCCCAATTGTTTGACACTACAAACACATGCACCAATTCAACACCCCAATTTCTTGACACTACAAACACAGTTCAACACCCCAATTGTTTGACACTGCAAACACATGCACCAATTCAACACCCCAATTTCTTGACACTACAAACCTCAACAATTCATTTAGATACCAAAATTTGTGAAAATAATTGGGAAGATTAAAAATGAGTTTTAGCAAGTTTCATTTGCCACCCTGAAAATTTCAATCATAGTCAAAAAAGAAAAGTCTGAACAGGGGGTTGTCCCTGGTATGAAACTTCACTGTGCTTGATTGAATTGCGTGCAAAATAGTGAGTGCGCAGACATGGGCACTTTTCAGTTTTGCTACACAAAATGACGAGCCCGTCTGAAATTCGTTAAAAAAAATTGTTCTTGTGAATAATTTGTCGAGTTTTTTTGTTTCAGTAATCATTAGAATATGAAGAACGGAATAACAATGATGATTCTAAAAATAATATCTTACTGTGTAATGAAATCGAGGTCGAATTTTAGGTGCGCAGACATAGATCTAGAGAATCATTCTAACAAGTTAACTTAAGAATTAGACATGCCATTTATGACCGAGTCTAGAGATCTACGGTATTTGATTTCAATTTTTTGGGGGAATAAATATTTAGAATGCACAACAAATTCAATAAGCTTATAAGTCTTAATTACCAATCCTCGACATTTTCATGAAGCCGATTTGCGTTGTTGGCCCTTCCAGCATCGCCAACATTTTGCCCAGGTTCACCACGAGGTAAAGGCTCATACTCCCACTCGACGATACGCCCGTGTTCTCCGGCGTCTGCATCACTTGCATCGCTGTCGGTATCACTGCTGCTGCCACTGTCCGGACTGTCACTACTACCACTGACACTGTCATTTTCACCGCTTTCCCCGCAACTGCCATCCTCCTCACACTCAAATTCCATAACTAAATCATCTTGTGCATCTGCCCTGACGACTGGGGTAGCCATTCTCTTTAGAAAGACTTCTCAAAACTTCTCAAACTTCAATCGATAAAAAGCAGAAAGGATTCACGGTACGCAAAATCAATGTAGATCTCGAACATCGCACGGCGAAGAATTATAGCAAACAATTCGAGTCTACACGGAATGACGTCACCCAAGTCCGTGCGGCGCGGGGGCTCTTGACCGAGGCGAATTTGGGAGGGGGCGGCAGTTGTACTGTAATTTTCATTTTTCTCAGTAATGAAAGGGTATTTAATTTTTTCTTTCTTGTATTTGTATTTTGTGTTTCATTAGCCGTCTGTGGATGTATGGTTGTGTACGCTCCGGTCAAGGTCTTTAACAAAGAAATTGATGCTAGACCTCTTCATGCCTTTGAAAGTGTGAAGAAGAGAATCATCCAAGCCATGATTCATTGCCTTGATGTAGGAACGTGACTATCGGCTGATCGCTGAGGGCTCTCTGTGGCACCTCCCCTTTTTTCGCGAGGTGACTCGGGTTGCACGTAAAGCGTGCCGTTTATGTCGCTGCAGAGATTGCCGTTTCGTCATCGGAAGCAACCATCAAAACGATGACGTAGTTTACAAAAATAGCTTTCATTTGATATGCAACACATGGTTTTCCGATACAGAGAAGTTGGATAATTTTTGGCTGGAAGCTTATTTCGAGAAGTAAGACCCCAGTTTTTGCTGAAGGTATGTATGCAACGTCTTTAAACTTTATAACTTGTTAGTATATATATTAGTCAACATTATGTTCAAATTTGAAGTAAATCTATCGACCGCTTCAATTTTTTTTTGATGATAATTGTGTCGATCCGGCGTAAAAATATCAAAATTCGAGCTGTCATCGATGTCACAACACGGAAGCTATGCAGTACTTGCACTTCGAAGTGTGATCATTGCGTTGAAAGTTTATTATTTTATGACTACTTTTGTTTTATTTTGAGCAGCTTGTTAGTACATTTATATATATTTCCTTAAATCTTTATTAATTTAGCATTTTGAATCCGAAATATTGTATTTTACCATGATTAAAAAAGTTCGTCTTTTGTTTACAAAAATGTCTCTGGCTGGGAGTTTTGTGCATGTCTGCACGGCAGCTTGTGTGTACATGGTGTGTACATGTAACAGGTCACGTGACATTAAACTTATAGCTGCTTCTTGATCATTTTGTATGAAACTTCAATTATCACTTGTATATTTGGCATTTAAACTTATTCAAACGTAATTGTTTAATTGTATGTATTAATTATTTATTTCTTGTCACTGTGCTTTTATTAATTTGTTTGCTTGTTTTACCTTATAATGCTTTGTGGACTTTGTTATTTCTCTTGATCTACTGTTTTTAAAATTCTGCGAAGCCACGCCCATTTTTTTAAAGGCACATGTGGTTCCTTTTTGGAATTTCCATGGTCAATGACTATTTTGAACTTGGTTTTTATCACTTCATCTACTATTTTCAAATTTCCGCGAAGCTATGCCCAAATTTTAAATAATGCTTTGTGAACTTTGTTGTTTATTTGTATGTATGTTTGTATTTTTTATATATTTATTTATTCATATTCATTCTTTTTCACAGGTATACAGTAACAACCAGACACCATGCCACCAAAAAAGAAACAACGAAAAAAACTTCCATTGCCAAAACAATTTGGAAAGAAACGGCAGTATCTCGCTGACAACTTTAATGCCTTACCAGATGACCCAACAGACTTGAAAAATGGACATGTTTTGTTACTTTACATTACAAAAGAAAAGTCTCCAACCCAAACAATAACAGCAATCAGGGAGAAATATTCATGCAAATGTGTTAAAGTCCAGCTGCAATCCCTTCTGAATCGGGAATCAAAGTTTTCAAGAACAAGCAATGCGGAGACCGTCATGAAGAGATATGAAACCTGTTGTGAAGAGACATTTGAAGTAAAGGAACAAGATGATCCCAATGCCCCTGGACAGTCTTCAAATGGTAAGCATAAATACTCACAGGACTTCCAAGTTTAATCAGTATAAATACAATTTTGATATCTTTAAATATTGTTACTGAATTGTTGTTTTTTACACTTTTTTATATAAGTGACAACATTTTTTCCTTTTTTTATTTCCACCTACAGAGCAAGCAGCAGAACAAGAGACAGCTGGATCTCCAGAGCCTCAACAGATGATGGAAAGCACTGCAACCAGACAATCTTTAGTGACTCCAGTCTCATCTCTACCCACACAATCTGTGGACTCATCTTCTCCTATTCGTTCTTCAAGAAGAAAAGCACCCCAAACCCCAAACAAAATCTTTATGAAAAAAAGATTGGACTTTGTAACAAAATCTAAAGTTGAAATGAATACAACAGTATAAACGAAAAGTGTCAAAACTGAGATCGAACATAAATTTCCAGAAGATACATGAAGTCAAATATCTAAACCAATATGTGATGCGCCAGAAAACGATGCTCGCTAAAAGGAATGCAACAATAGCATTGCTCCGGTCTCAGTTAGCTAGCACAATTGTAGGGGAAGAACTAAACAAAATGAAAAAAAAGCAAAAAATGCAACAAGAAACCAGAAGCGAGCTGTAAAGCAAATGTCTAATGCTTCAAATAAACCAGAAACCAAAAGGAATGCAAAGGTCAGTGACTTGAAAAATGAGCTATGTGAAAAGAAGACAACTATTCAGCAACTGGAAGATGAAAATTGCAGATTGAAGGAGACAATCCAATCATATGAAAATGAACCGACAAGTTCTTCAGACTTTATAAAAGAGGGGAAAAAGTACCCTAATACAATTAGGATGTTTGTTTACGACTCTCTTGTGAACAATGTGCCAACACAGAATGTTCCAAATCTAATCAAACAGTTCGGCAAGAGAACAGGGATAACAATTAATCATGTTCCACACAGAAACACAGTAGAACTTACGTGTAGAAGAGATAGGTGTTATCTCGGACATAATGAGTGCCGAGTTGCTTGTTAACGAAGACAACCTGACAATTGCTTTTGATGCAACAACACAGGAAGGAACCCACGTCAATAGTATTCATGTTACCAGCAAGGACAAATGCTATGTCTTGGCAGTAGATGAGTTACCTGGAGGGACTACTGAAGATTACAGCATGCATGTAAATGACACTATAGACTCATTAAAGGGATAGTCCACCCCAGAAATTTCTTTATACTGTCGAAATCTCCATAAAATTTCATGTAAGATGATTTCATTTATTTTTTAGAAAAGACAGGATTTAGCTGTAGAATCACAGTTGAAACATACGCATTCTCCCTGTGATCGCAGTCACTGGGGATCGCCATTTTGTGAATTGACCCGCCGTGGTGTGACGTATCTTGCGAGCTGGCCGTTATTGTATTCTGATTGGTCGGTGAATTTGTACAGGAATATTGATCTGTAAGATGCTTAATAGCATTTTGTTTTTCACTGTTAAACTTATATGTAATTTAAAAATAATTATTAAATAAACTTGTATTTATTAACGTTCACAAAACTGTTGCAATAAATTTTAAAAAGAGTCTACAAAACAAAACTTGTGTAATTTTTAAATTGGTTTCGTCTTCAAATGCGCACGCGTACGTGCGTGCATCGTACATTTGTAAACAACTTTCGGCTTTCTGTATCTACGGAAAATCCAGATAGCTTCTTACTATCTTACTAAGAATATCGCGAATTTCACAACTTTCTTCAATATACGATCGACATGTCATCGTCTGAACCAGTGTGCTATGGGTTTGATCCAGAGCAATGTCTTGAGTAATCGCATTGTTGGGCACAATCTTTGCCATGTTTGGTACGATGAAGACAGCGAAACCAAAACTATGTACATGGGGAAGGTAGAAAAATATCTTTAAAAAAGTGGCGGGACTTACTGCATTGCCTACTGGCTAGATGATGGGGAGACATACGAGGCAGATGCCGAAGATTATGAGTTGACAAAGTTTGCGGTAGCAGCTGATTTAGTGTGTGGAGACCTGCCTCTCTCCTAATTAATTGGGAGACCAGTTCCTGTAACTTTCAGGTCAGTGTTTTCTGAAACTTGCTGATTTTCCCAAAATGGTCAAATATTTTGGTTTTGGTGGAAAATTAACATGATCATAAATTAATCATGAATTAACTAATTTACTAATTAATTGATAAATAAGTTAATTAGTTAATTAGTGATTACCTGTTTTTAAATATCTGTTGTAATTTAAAAATTACATAATGAACATTGACTGAATTGATTGAAATTAATATTTATTCAATTATTGTGACTATTTAACTGTATTTTTTATTAAAACTGAATATCGTTATTGAATATGCTAATTAATTAATAATTAATTAATTAATTATAATCATGCACTTTCCAATAAGTTTCTACTTAATTGTGTTCTTCAAACTGAATACTTCAATGTGCTTTTTATTCCATTAAATTCTGTAAAGAAATAAAGAAGTTACAATAAAATATCTAATTTTCTCATTTATCTAAAGACAAAAACTCATAAATACGGTTACAATCATACAATGCATTACTATGTATAAACCAGGACCACAGTTTGTGTATTTTGCGAGCATAAAAAGTCACGTAAATCCACTTATACTCACCCTATGACCATGTTTGAGGTGTCATTTTAAAGCATTTTTCATGCCCTTTCCAATGATACCAATTTTAAAGAGATTAAATAATTTTGAAATTTTTTGTCACGTACCTACTTGATGTCAGGTTTACTATAGTTTTGGTTGTGTTGATGTTTTAAACGATGATATTGTTAATGAAACTAAATTTTCATCACCATTGTGTGTTTGTATGTTTTAGGGATCAGAGGTGTGATATATTAGAAGTTCATTCAGCCTTTCATACCCTTATTGCGGTAGCTTTCCGATCATGTTTTCTTGTGTCTAAAGATTTTATGCCCGGGCTCAGTTGTTTTTAGTTGTTATTTCCGTTTTTCTGTTACTTTTGTTGGAGTTATTTATTTTTAAGTTGAGTGCCGTCTGTTTTCCATCCATCATGCCTGGTATTTTCAAGGTTTGTGTTGTGGAACAATTTGAAATACGAAGACCACGAGGCAAGGAGCCGCATGTGTTTGGGCTCGTGTTGGAGTCGGGGGAGTCAGAGCCAGTGGCTGTTTATTGCCACTTTCCTGAAGAGCAGGTGGCCAAAGATCTCTTGGCGTTGCCATTAAGGAAGAAGGTTATGCTCGCCAAGGGCACCATAAAGGGTCGAAACCTGTCCTTAACGAAGGAATCCAAGGTATTTATTTTGAGTTTTAGTTTTCTATGTAATTTCTGTTTTCTGATAGTGTTTTGTGTGACTGAAGATTTAATGCCAGGGCTCAGCTGTTTTTAGTTGTCATTTCTGTTTTTCTGTTACTTTTGTTAGAGTTTTTTATTTTTAAGTTGAGTGCCGTGTGTTTTTCAGCCATCATGCCTGGTATTTTCAAGGTTTGTGTTGTGGAACAATTTGAAATACGAAGACCACGATGCAAGGAGCCGCATGTGTTTGGGCTCGTGTTGGAGTCGAGGGAGTCGGAGACAGTGGCCGTTTATTGCCATTTTCCTGAAGAGCAGGTGGCCAAAGAACTCTTGGCGTTGCCATTAAGGAAGAAGGTTATGCTCGCCAAGGGCACCATGAAGGGTTGAAACCTGTCCTTAATGAAGGAATCCAACATATTTATTTTGAGTTTTTTGTTTTCTATGTTTTTTCTGTTTTGTGTGTGTAGTTGTGTGATTTTTGGGGTCTACATTTAGGTGTAGGTTTTGGACGGTACTTTAGTGTCGACACCCACCTTCAAGAGGCGTCGCCTGATGCTAAAAGACAGCAACAGCAACATGTTAGTCAATGACACTGTTGTGGTGACAGCGGTGTTGGTGCAAGACCAAGCCCTGTGTTCAACCCAGCAGTCATGCATTGAGGTTTGTATGTTGTTGCTGATTTTTTTTTTTGGCTGGTGCAGAGAAACAGAGCAACAACAAATAAGGGAGATATGAATTTTGTAAAAGGTATGGAAAACTATAAACTTAGAAAATCACTACACAAATTCCATTCAAATAGGTCATTCAGATGTAATATCAGCAAACTCAGCACGTAATCTTGGGAGTTCCGTTTGCTAGTGAATATGAACATAAATGACTTTGTATTAAAAAAAAAAAAAATTCAGTCCATCTCTTTTCATCTGCAGAGTATTAGTAACATTAGGAAGATATTTGAAACTCTTGATGGAACGTAGAAAGAAGATGCCACTTCTTGAACAATGAATTTAAAAGGTTGTTTTTTTCCAATTGAAGACGCCAGTTCTAGAGCTGTTGAAAACAGTGGCCAGGCCAGTAGTCTACAGCGTGCCATCCCATGTATAAATATAATATAAAATCAGATCTTTTGGCATAGTACTGCGATTACGTCAAAGATTTTTCATTACTTGCCCAACTTGCCTAAAAATATGTCTGCGTACAAGCGAGTTTGTCTCCATCAAAATGTCTACTTGGCATGGCTGGGCATATAAATATCCCAAAATAGACACAGCCGAACCCAGAGACAATAGACTTTAAAAATACAATGCAAGCAACATGGTCTAGTTCACTCACACATAACCAAAGAGCTATCATTGAAATATAGATCAAGCTAAATATTTTAATAAGTCTGCAGAAGATCTAATTTATGGGTATCTACATGTAGGTTTAAAAAAGATCAGAAATTTGTTTGTCCATTTAGATCTTATTCAATAGGTCTAGGCTTTGAGTAAGACTAGCTGGTAAGAATGGGGAACTTAGGATTAAATGAACATGTGACTGGATATTGTTCATACTGTGAGCACGGAAAAAGAAACAGTTAGCCATTTTTTATGCAAGTGCTCTCACTTCCTTATAGAGAGAGCCATGCTTATTATAGAATCTGGCATAGAAAACGAAAAAGCAATCCCAATTCTCCTGAATTCCACAGACATTAACCATCAACAGGCTCTGGTCAACTTTGTATCTAGAACTAAAAATTAAAAGGGTACACCTGTACCCATACTAACCACCTTGCACCGCACATAATTAATTAAGCTCAAGATGTTTCGCTTTTTTATAGTGGGTAATACATGAAGAAGAAGAAGAGGGAAAGAAGAAGAAAAGTAGAAAAGTACTCAAGAAGAGAAGAGAGAACTGCCTGCCGGTATATTAGCGTTTAGAATCTTCTTGTATATGATCTGTTTTTTATTGGTTTTCAGACAAATCTTGAAGAAATGCGGTGGAGACGACTAGACTTAATGGTGGACGTCAGAGGGCCTAGTTGAGAAACATGTCACAAGAAACCGTGTCTGAGTTGGTCCTTGGACATCCAATATAGCCGATAGGCCTTTTGCTTGTCAGCCACTGAACACTTCAACTTTTAAAAAAATAGAGTGTAACTTTTAAGAATCTAATTTATCCTAATCTTTATATTAACTAAAGTATTAAAATCTAATTTGAAAGGAAAAAGATCCGAACAGAAGAGGTTTAGATATTCACTCCTAAATGATAAATGCCTATAGACCAAAAACAACAACAGTATTCAGATCATATCACATGGTCATACACAAACACACTGGAATCATACAAAGACGTTCAACACACAAACCAGAAACACAGAAAGAAAAACTTATCAGGACTTTTACAGGTAGGTATAATCCAGTTGGTGAAACTCTTCATCTATTTGATATTTTTATATACCAAATTATTCAATTATGTTAATAACATTATCAATTTTGCCCTTTTTTTTGGGGGGGGGGGGGCGAGGGATCTTTACGGAAGGAGTGGGGGTAATGGGGCAATAATGTTTGCCCTCCTTGGTGTATCCCATATCTCACAAGAATATTTTTGCCTTTCTGGATTTTACGACAGCTGCTCAAGAACAATTTTTGTTTAAACACATTCCAAATTCTTGACCTCTAACCTGGTTCCAACACTATGTTAAAACCACCATGTAAAATGATAAAGCCCAGAGCAAATGTTGCAGAAGCAAATATCAGATAACCACACTCTTGAGGTGCACCAACAATATGAATGCGCTATTTGAAGCATACAACTAGATACGCCATTATTTTGGGGCTGAATATTTATGGAGTGTATGTTTAGATGCATAGACAATCATTTACAATTTCAGCTAATAATTCAATCAAAAGTTATCATTTTTCATTATTAAGCATTGAGTCACTCTCTTGAGCAAGATGTTGTCTTGTAATTCTTTGCTTCTTTTTTTTTGGGGGGGGGATATCTACATGCTCTGATATTTCATTTTTCTGAGCAATGTTTTAGATTATCAATGATGGAT